AGGTTTAAATAAAGAGAATATGAGATCCGTGCTCTCCCAAAACTTATTTGTTTATAATGAAGGTGTTACAATTCTTGGTATAGAGCTACCAAGAATCACCCCAGAAAACCGACACACAGAAACGGAAAACATAAAGAACAACACCAGAAATTTATACTTGGTTCAGAAATTCTTGTAAAAGAATTTCCTACATCCAAGTTGGCCAGTGAGGGTCAAACGCCCTCTAGCATGCACTCTTATTCAGAAACAGATAATAGGTACAAAGAGTTCAAGATACTAAACTTGTAACTCTAACAATACAGCATATACAAGGCATATAACAGAGAAAGAAAAACAGAACTACAAAGATACATCACATGTACACTATCACAGTACATATAAAAACAAGAACTTGCAAACTAAAGACGTGTAAAGGAAAGGTTTCACCGATCATGCATCCAGCTCCACCAAAACCGTGGATTACTCCATGGGAGCTCACAACCTCTTCTGCAACCAAGAAAAGCTCCACGATGCAACACCTCCTCACCAACGTTTGCAAGAATCTCCAGAAAGTAAACCGATCAAGCTATGTATCTTTGTAATAGGAACAACTTTCTCAACAGCCTTGTGATGAGATTCACAAGTTTTCACACTCAAATCGTCCTCACAGGTTTTTGACACAAACCCTAAGTTTCCCTTTCTTGTTCAGAGAAAAAGAAAGAACCGAGAGAGAGAGAGAGAGAGAGAGAGAGAGAGAGAGATCAAGGAATCACAAATTGAATGCCACGTTATGCCTGAAAAATCTGAGCCTCAGCGTTAAATGAAAGCATAGGTATTATAATATCAACCAATTTCAACTTAACCAAAAAACGGCAGCGTATTTGTAATGCAGCTGATATAACAAATATCAATGTATGTGGGCCTTACCAATAAACACAGTAGGATATATTTTAGGCCCAATAGCAAACAAACAGGTACCACATGGTTTAGAAAATACAGTTTAACAAATCTCCACCTATTTACTAAACATACAGCAGAACACAGTGCACACCAGAGTTTTCTGACGTTTAACCCAAGGCCTATGCTATGCATGCAATTTAGGGAGGTTTTATTTTTAGCAAATTTAGAGCCTCCCTAAATTTACTAAGAGGAACAGTCTTAGTCAAAATATCTGCAGGATTAATTTCAGTTGGTATTTTATTTACACTAACCTGACCATTACTAATTATTTCCCTTATGAAATGCAACCTAACATCTATATGTTTGGTCCTTTCATGGTATGCACCATTTTTGGACAGGTGTATGGCAGATTGAGAATCAGAAAATACCTTAGGAGGGTCCTTCTTACCTAGACCCAACTCAGAGACAATTCCATGTAGCCACATTGCCTCCTTGACAGCTTCTGTGAGAGCCACATACTCTGCTTCAGTTGTGGAGAGTGCCACAATGTGTTGCAAGCTTGCTTTCCAGCTCACCACATTTCCTCCCACACAAAAAACAAAACCAGTTAGAGATCTTCTTTTGTCAAGATCAGCAGCATAGTCAGAATCACAATAACCAGTAATATCACAATTAACTGAGTTTTGAGCAGTATAATGAATGCAGCAATCAACAGAGCCACTAAGGTATCTAAGCAACCATTTCACAGCATTCCAATGTTCCTTAGATGGTTTACTCATGTATCTACTTACTACACTAACACCATAAGCAATATCAAGCCTAGATCCTATCATGGCATACATTAGGCATCCAACAGCATTAGAATATGGAATGTTGCACATAAAAGTAGCCTCATCCGAGGCTAACTCACCATCTACAGCTTTTAACCTGAAGTGACCAGCAAGGGGAACACTTACAGGTTTTGCCAGGTACATGTCAAAGGTCTTTAAGACCTTTTTCACATACTCAGATTGAGAGAGAGTCAATATCCTCTCATCTCTTTTCCTTGTAATGTCCATGCCAAGTATCCTTTTGGCTGGACCAAGGAACTTCATCTCAAATTCCTTTTTCAACAATGATTTCAGATTATTAATTTCATTTATGTCCTTAGATGCAATTAACATGTCATCAACATAAATCAACAAGTAGATAAAACAGTCATCATGCAGTTGTTTAAAGTACACACAATGATCAAAACTACTCCTATTAAAGCCTTTGGACAAAACAAAGTCATCGAATCTCTTATACCACTGCCTAGGGGCTTGTTTTAACCCATAAAGGGACCTTTTCAAAAGGCACACTTTGTTCTCAGCCCCCTTTTTTATAAACCCTTCGGGTTGCTCCATGAATATGAGCTCTTCAAGGCTGCCATGCAAGAAGGCAGTCTTGACATCCAATTGTTCCAATTCTAAATCATGAATTGCAACAACTGAAAGTATGAGCCTAATTGAAACATGTTTCACAACAGGGGAGAATATTTCATTGTAATCAACCCCCTCAACTTGTGAAAAACCCTTAGCAACAACCCTTGCCTTAAACCTGGCAGCTTCAACACCTGGGATTTCTGGCTTTCTTTTAAAAATCCATTTGCATCCAATCACCTTCTTGTTCTTTGGATGCTCCACCAAAACCCAAGTCTTATTTTTCTCAAGAGAGTCCATCTCTTCCTTTATGGCTTTTAGCCAATGAATTTTAGAATCCAGCCTCATAGCCTCTTGGTATGAGCTGGGTTCATTAAACTCCAGCACATCTCCAACTTGGAGTGCAAATGCTATGACATCAAATGCTATGACATCTCCAACTGGGTTCATTTAGATTTTGTAAAGAATTTTGATAGAATATTTTTTTTGTCGAAATATTTTCCGTCAAATTTTTACGGAAATATTTTATGTCGAAATATTTTGACAGAAATGCGTTCCATTGAAAACTTTGATGGAAATGTTTATTATCAAAAAACTTGACGAAAATATTTTTCGACAAAAATTTTCGATAGAAATGTGTTTCGTTAAAAATTTTGACAGAAATTTTTTTTGTCAAAAAATTTAACGAAAATATTTGAGTCGAAAACTTTCGGGGAAATTTAAATTCTGTCAAGAATTTTGATGAAATTTTTTTTCGTCAACAATTTTCGATAGAAATGTGTTTCATTAAAATTTTAATGGAAAAATATTTTTCGTCAAAAATTTCGATGAATATGTTTTTTTATGAAATATTTTGCCAAAATTTAGATTCTGTAAAGAATTTTGACAAAAAAAAATTTTCGTCAAATTTTTTACAGAAATATTTTGTCATAAATTTTGATGAAAATATTTTTCATCAAAATTTTGATAGAAATATTTTCCGTAAAAAATTTTGACGTAATTGTTTTACGTCGAAACTTTTCGATGGAAATGTGTTTCATCAAAATTTTGGACGGAAATATTTTCGTTAAAAGTTTCGACGAAATTTAGATTCTATCAAAAAATTTGAATGAATTTTTTTTCTGTACAAAATTTATATTAGTGATTATGGCAATATCTAGTTCCGTCTCTAATTTCGTCTTTAGTTTTGACGAAATTTTTTTGACGTATATGATTTTCATCAAAAATTGCATCTCTATTTTTTATGAAATATTTTTCGTCAATAAATTATGTCGGTATTTGAGACCTTTCTAATAATATCACATTTAAAGATGATTCAAATTATGTAGTTTTAACATTTTAATGCTAAGGATAGATAAATAATTTTTAATATTTCCCTCTAAAACCTTCCAAATTGGGAGAACTTTAATTTTAAGAAGAAGTAGAGTTTTGGAGGGTTTTGAAAAATCCTCAAACTCTTCTCCTTCTTTTTTTAAACTCACAAACAAGGAAAAGGCTTACTAAAGCCATCCATTTCCTTTTCTTCTCCTCCTAAAACCAACTCCCAAACAAAGTCTAAAACAGGAAAAATAAGGTTGAAAACAAATTGAGCTGGAGGGATAATATAAAAGTATTCTCTCAAGGTTACTAGTTATGTGCAATGAGAGAATGCAAATGAAAGTTAAATATTAAATTTGAAGAACAAACATTTTCATCATTTTCACATTTTATTAATGTGTAACCTTAATGTAAATTATCGTTAAAAAATACACGTCTTTAATTTAGTAGAAAAACAGTCGCACAGACTATGCAGGATACATGTACGTAATATGGACTATATTTAAAATTTTACAGTAATATCAATTTTTTTTTTTACATACTATCAAAGTATTATTAATAATTTGGGGATATTATTTCTCATGTTACATCAAACAAAATATTGCATGAAACAGACAAAAAAATGGGTGAGATTCGTTACAGAAAAGAGAGAGTAAAAAAATAAATAAATCTCATCCACTTTTGTATATTGCACGAAATAAGTTATTTCATGTAACACAAGAAATAATATTTTCTATTATTAAGAAAAATTATTTTCTCATAAAGTTATTTTCTCCTACCAATAACTATTACTTTTTATACAATATTTTCTTTTATTTTTATAATAAATATGAACTCTGCAAAAAATATGTCTCTAATGAATGAGAAAATTTGAAACTCAAATACTAACTATGTAAAAGTGCATTAGGCATTTAGGCAGAATAAACGGAACTCTATGGGTCCCAACCACAAACCAAAGAGAAAAGTATACATAAAAAAACGCTCCACTGCTTTGTGGTCCCCGCCACCCGTTCTATTCAACTCTCCTCCTCAAGTTCTCATCATACGCATTTACTTCCTTCGCATCCAACAAAAGAAAACCTCTCACTGCACGTGTGACCCATTACCATTACATCCGTTGATCATGTTCTTGTCAGGATCCGACGGTCCTCCTTTCCATGCCATTTCCATAATTCCCTCATTGACCAAAGACCCAAAGCGAAGAGCAAAGAATATCTTAAAAACCCAAATATTTATGGAAAACAAAAAGCAAGCATCTCACGTCACCTACCTTTGACTCTCTTAATTATATCTCAATATCTCATTCCCATCCCATCTTTAAACACCGCATTCTCTTGTGCTCACTATATCCCATTTCTCTGTTGATTTTCTTTTACTCGAACTTCCTTATAGAGATAAGTGACAATGGTGAGAGACAATCTATGCATAACGGTTCCGAGCTTCTTCAAGTGCCCTATCTCACTCGATGTCATGAAATCCCCTGTGAGCCTCTGCACCGGAGTTACCTACGACCGTTCCAGCATCCAACGCTGGTTAGATAACGGTAACAACACTTGCCCCGCAACCATGCAGGTTCTTCAAACCAAGGATTTCGTTCCTAACCGCACTTTGCACAGCCTCATCCGGATCTGGTCCGAATCCGTTACGCACCGGGTTGACCCGCCCGATTCCAAATCGGTCCTTTCACGTGACCAGGTCCTCCAAGCCATCATCGACATGGACACTCGCAGTGAAAACCGGTTCAGCTCGCTCGTAAAACTGGTTCGGTTCGCTGAAGATTGTGAAGATAACCGAGTCTTCCTTGCGAAAATAAACCGCTTAGTGCCCCTGCTGGTTGGTTTCCTCGACAATGTCGACGGCGGAGTAACAGGAAGCGTTGATTTTCTCGAACAAGTTGTGAAGGCGTTGAGTTTGGTCATGGATAAAATCGAAGATTGCGAGGGATTGAAAGACTCTATGTTGAAGGGAAAAAGTGGCTGCTTAGATTCTCTGCTTCTCGTTCTGCAACGAGGAAGCTCCGATTCAAAGATTGCCTCAGCTAGGGTTTTGAATTTCATCGCTCTGGACACCGATTCGAAGCTCTTGATCGCCGACAAGGAAGGCCTGGTAAACGAATTGCTGAATTTAGTGACGCCGGAGAAAGATCCGGCGCTAATCGAGATCGCCTTGGCGAGCTTGGTGGCGATCTCAACGCCGAAACGGAACAAGCTGAAACTCGTGAACCTCGGAGCGGTGAAGACGCTATCGGAGTTGCTATCGGAGTCGAATTTGAACGTGGCGGTGGTGGAGAAGGTGCTGAAGCTGATGGAAACGACGTCGTCGACGAGGGAAGGGAGGAGGGAGATATGCGAGGACGCGGCTTGCTTGGCGGCGATACTGAACAAGGTTCTGAAGGTGTCGAGCGTGGCGACGGAGCACGCGATGACGACGCTGTGGAGTGTTTGTTATCTGTTTGGGGATCACAAGGCACAAGAAGCGGTTACGCATGCGAATGGCTTGACCAAGATTCTGTTGTTGATGCAGAGCAATTGTTCGCCTCAGGTGCGCCAAATGTGCACCGATTTGCTCATGATTTTTCGGGTTAACTCTAAATCGTGCCTTTCTTGCTACGACACCAAAACCACACATATCATGCCGTTTTGATTCACTCGGAGACACATATTTAAAAAGCTTGTAAATCAAACGAAATTTTGTTAGTCTATAGACAGAGAGGGGGAAAAAAAAAAAAGAACAAAAACTAAAAAAGTGGAAATTCATTTGGAGTAAGTACTAGATTTTTATTTTCTTTTTATTTTCTCTTACACGGTGAATTCAAGTGTGTTGCAATTTCTAATAATTGATTACAAAAGAATTTCTTTTCTTAAACCCCATGAGGAATTCCAGAATTTTGTGCAACACCCCAGCAGATAGGTTGCTAAATTGATTAAAGAAAAATGGCACCACATTTGGGTGATTCTATATATGCTTTTTTATGTCAATTGTGGGTATGGACCTGTAAAGAATTTTGTAATATATCAACCCAAAAGTTAGCTCAAAGGGTAGAGTGTCCAAAGTCTGATAAACTTCACCTCCACATTAGTTGCTCTCATACAATCAATGTGAGACTATATATCTCAACAAGTTCCTTCACACGAGAGCCCATTGAGCTTGAATGGTGGACAATGCACAGGTCCACCTACTGTTCGAAGAACCTTGGGATACATCACCCCAAAAACTAACTCAAAAGGTGGGAGTCCCAAGCCTTATAAACTCCACATTAGTTGCTCATATAACCAATGTGAAACTATATATCTCAACATGATCGATGATTCCTTTGGTGAGCACTATACGACTCGATGAATTTTTGTTCGTGCAATGCATGAAGCTTTGCAAATTGCAACAATTTGGCCACGAAGTAATTCAACTTTGACCATATATTTTTCATAAATGAGATTTGCAATTGTCATTTAATATGACACAACAAACTTCTCTACACACAATATTTTGTGGGATCTACACTTTTTGGAAAAAAAAAAAAAAAAATTACGGCACGCAAAACGAATCCCTATAACATTAGACAATCACTTTTCTTACGACATAACTCTTATAAAACCCTAAATAAATTAGCATTATATGGCAACCAACGGAGTGGGACGAGTTCTTTTAAAACGAAAAAATGTTTTAATATCAATATTCATTAGTTCAAGTGATAACGATGTTTCCTTAATTAGAGACTTCGAACCAAATTAGTCGGATAATCTATGAATTAATAAATATAAAAAATAATAATTCAGTAGCTGCAATCTCCATCCAAATCAGGAAGAATTCGAAAACCATTTTTTTTTTTGAAATAAATCTAAATTTCACAGGGAATGCGTTGGGTTGAGTTTTAAGAACTTCAAGGCAGTTGGCTAATTAGTCGAGAATTGCGTCGTTTGTCATTTTTGACCAAAAAACTATTATGAAACCTATTTCTATTTCGTGCTTAAGTGAATACATTGAACTTGCATCTTTACGGGGCGTTTGGTTAAGGAGAAATTTTTTGAATACTAGGGAAATGTAATTGATGGGAAAATGATTGGAAAGTGAGATAGGTAGGAAAATGTAAAAAAAAGTTGTTTGGTGAGAAAAAACTTTACTGGGTAAATTAGGTAACTTTTATGAAATCCTTGTTTGGTTGAAGGTAAAATATAGATGGGAAAAGAAGTATTGTTTACGAAAATAGCCCTGATATTAAAATTTTAATTCGGTGGCTACAAACAGGGTTGTCAAAACCCAACCGTTCACCTTTGAAAAAATTGACTGTTGCCAACGACCATGAATGGATGGATTTTTTAGTTGTCAAGATCCTGTGGGGTACTGTTTAGTCATTCTCAGTGATGTTTGATGATCACTTCCTATCTTCCCTTCTTTGACATGTGCTCAAGCTTGTACATGCAGACCATGAAATCTGTATTACATATACGAGACATCTTTTTAGTGAAATATAAGTTGGTTTTTATCTTTCTAAGAATTATCTTGTTGCATATTAATCCAAATAAATTCAAATCCATCTATAGCATGGTGAATTGGAATCTGGAGGTAAATAGAGAAAACTGTCAAAGTTATTAATTAGAACAGCTTCGATGAATTGAAAATTAGATTTTAATCTCTACTTTTTGCCAAAGGGAATTGGGGGCCTGTAAAGAATCCTGAGATATTGGATGCTAATGAAAGATGATGGCCAGGGGCTAAACAATAGTTGAATTGAAATTGATTAGTAAAGGTGTCATTGACCTGTTTATTTTCTAAACAAAAGTCAATTGTCTAAAATGATTTGGCTGTTTCTCAGACTTTGAATGTTTCCATAGAGTAGACACTGACTTAAGTCTTAACAGTGTATCCTGATATCTATGTTACTAAAAATCTCAGCTTAATTAAATGGAACGAAGCACAATATATTAACACTGGTTTATGTTGATAACCATGCACTCAAATCCAATAACAACAAAGGATAAAAACATCTGACATTTATAATAAATAACACAGTTACAAGTCAACAAAGGAAAAGGACTAAAAAAGTTTTACAGCATAACCACAAAGCCTTCATTAATCAAAGGTCCATATACAAGCTGATTTACATCCAACTTAAACGCATAATTGTTAAAACCGACACCCTACATCAAACACAATCGGTTGAATGGTTTAGGTTGAGGGCCTTTGGAATTTATGTGGGATGACATGGATCAGCAATTTTTCAAACCATCAGTAGTTGAAGACCCTGTTGCAACAAGTAGTTGAGGCAAGTTAAAAAAAACTACAAATGGCAGTAGACAATGCACAGAATGAAGACCATGCTGACAGAATATATATCATTGAGTGAAAGAAAGAATGCATAAAAGAAATATATCATCAATAACCAGGAGTTCAACAAAAAAAAAACCATATAAACCAATAACACTACAAAGTTTATCATCAGTGAATATTATCTTCCCAAATAATCATGTCAGCTTCCGCAAAGGTAGCAAATTAGCATTTCATCCACCCACAAAGAACTTCTTGCTGCAGAACCTAGATAAACCAGCCAAACTTCGGTTATAACTTAAGGTTATTCGCCAGAAACAATTTTTAATGGTCAATTTCTGTCCTCTACAAATCCTGCAACCACATTGATGTTCTAAGCATTGCCCACTGTACCATGTATAACAAATACTTCAAATTGTATCCAAGATTTCATTAAACTTGACATGTCTTTACCTTCACAAATATCCCAAACCAAACATATGACCATGACTCTGCAAAATGAGAACCCATGCAACAGATTTAGTGCTGCAAAACCCCCCACATGTTCATGTAGAATGGACTATTTCCAAGACACTTACTAACCCTTTTAAATTAAAAAAAAAAAAAAAAATCCCAGATCAGGATCCAAAGCTGAGTTCACAGCAACATGCCTTCCTCAAGGCCCAAGATCTTGCAGGCAACATCAGAGTTGTAACACACAAATGCAAAATTTATTCACTCTTGACACTCCATAATCGATGGGAAATCATATGCGTGGCATGCACATAATGAATAGACAGCAAGTCTAACAAAACCCACATATGTATAGATAGTATCAGTCAAAAAACAAAAAAGAAAAAGAAAACAAGAAATGACAGCTTTCTTCTCACCCAACCCCCAAAATTAATTCGAATGCTACAAATTCAACCATTTAATTCTACTTGAAAACCATGCTTTAACCAATTCAGACTTCAAAAACTATATCATAGACAAGTTTTCACGGCAACCATGGGCACCAATTGTTCTCACGTTTCGTTATTACCAACCAACAACTATTGGTGTTGTTATCAGTAGTTGAATTGATAATTAAATAAAACCCAATACCTATTAAACCAAAACTGAAACAAGTTTTACGGGTAGCAAGAACTGAAAACTAAATCTACAACTTCAAAGTCCAATATTCGAAAACAATAATAACAAAAAAACAGACACCAATTTTGTCAGAAACCAACTAAATTGCAACATACAGATAAACAGAACAAGTTTCTTCAAATTTTAGGAACGAAAAATTAAAAAATCTAACCCAATCACCCGAATCATAAGCATAACGGACATAAGAGATGGAACAAACCAGGGTCATCGGAATATCGATCGGCGCGGGAATAAGGGGGAGGAGGATCTCGGTGGACTTCGCCGGGCTCGAAATCGCCGGAACGACCACCGGCGGATTCGCCGCCGCCGCCCTCGCTGTGGGAGGGGCGGACGACGAGGCTGCTCAAGAGAGGTTGGTGATGGTGCGGCGGCGCTTGTTCCTTGTCCCTCGATGATGCCATAATTCTTTGTGGAGAAGATTGAAAATAGGTAGCTCAGATACAAAACAGAAATCTCAGGTTCAACACCGGAGAAATTTTTTCACCTACATGCAAGGCTTCAAATTAAAATGTAACACCATGGATGAAGGGAACAACACTGCCATTTGTGTGGAAAATACCGAAAACCACAGACACAAATTTTTTTTTTCCTCCGAACTTACCTCCCGCGAACTAACCTTCCTGCTCACTGATGGTTGGAGAAAGGAATCAGACCACATAAAGGAAGATGGTGAAGACTATTTTGCTTCTCCATTTCGCTTGCATGTTTCCGTCTCCGTCTGTGCGGTATTTGGAAAGTGACAAGGGAACAGATGTAGTCAGCAAATTGGTACGGCCATTTCCATTCGCGCGCTTAAACAAGGGGTACGCTCGTCTATTGCCAATAACACCACTAAACCACATACATAGATAACCACAAATACCTCCTCAGCCAAGGGAATTTCTCGCCGGCTATCTGCCTTCAGATACATACATAAACTGGTTTCATAGCTAACGGATTTAGGTGGCTAAATGATGAAACTCTCTCAACCAAACATGGCCATTGTATTTCCCCACTTCACATTTCCCTATCATTCTCCTCAAAAATCTTCAACCAAACGCCCCCTTAAGGACAGAATAATAGCGAGGTTCCGGAAAATATGTGGGTGTGAACAACTGAAATGACTTTGTAATTGGATTTAATGCACCTAAAGCAAACAATTTCTTGAGAGAGAGAGAGAGAGAGAGAGATAGAAGTAGACAAAGTGCCGCAAAATGCTGAAATAGGGCTGCTTTGATGAATGTAACGGGAGCTTTCTCTTTCAAAAAAAA